CTAATGATTACTTTCATAATGGTTTAATGTGCTGACTATTGTCTACATTAATAGATGAAGGTCTGGTTTGTTTAAACCCTCAAAATAGTAGGACATGCTGTCATAATTACCCAGAGTCCGAAGTGACACCTTTACAATGTTAAAGCTGTTAAATAAATGTAGTGATGTAAAAACTAAAATATTCAAGATAGTGTAGTGGAAAAGAGATAATGTTTTTTTTTAAATGTTACTAAAACAAAATCTCTTGTTTTGGACTGACAGTAATGATTCAAGAAATAGTAGATAAATAAATAGACACATCAATCTGTGTGCATTTGTTGTGGATGGAACACAACAAATGGTGCTCTTACCTGTGATGCCTCCTCCAAACATTATAACCAGACTGTATCATTCAAACTATAAGTAACAGTTCTAGCTACTTGACTTTAGACAAACAATTCAAAAGACAAAATCAACACAATTTATTGAAAGACCAATCTTTATTTTATGGTGCCTCTCCTTTTGTTTGTATTATTAAACCCTGTCAATCTAAAAAACTGAGCAACTCAACAGTTAACTTTACATTTCTTATAGTCCAAAGCATCCATTACACTATTTGTTCCCCTCTCATATTCACAGGATGGATGATTAGAGACTTTTGGGGGAGACCTCAGCTTTATGAACGTCCTGTCTGTTGCTTTGGCCAGAGAGGGCTGAGGGTCTTTCCCTGCGAGGAGGACCAGGCCTGAGGGAGGAGGACCAGGCCTGATGGAGGAGGACCTGCACCAGCTGCAACTACAGAACTTAGCCCATGCTGGGCATATCTGTTACCACCTGCACAGGCCTAGCCTGTCACTTTATTTGACAACATGTGTTTACTTAATCAATTAACAGATTAACATTTAGTGTAACTTATGTATATTATTTCGTTTTTATTTAAAAAAAAATTGTGATGGTTCATGCTTGATAACTTTTAGTTCACATTTCAATAAATTGTATTTGCACTCCTTTTGTCTGTTATTCTTACTGAAAATGTTAAATTACACATTCACATCCGACTGAAGATTGGCACCATTTATTTGGGTATACCCAATAGTGTTACGTTATTATGAGAGTGCTCTGTTTGATTCTGAAATTGTATATATTTATATAAATATATACATAGGCTATATGTGTGTGTGTGTGTGTGTGTGTGTGTGTGTCCCCGCATCTGTAGCCTGTTATTGTCTCATTATACCGCACTGTGAAAGAATCAAAGTAAATATATAAGTCATCATGACCGTGCCTCCTGTCATCATTAATGGACGTCTCTTTAAAATGACCGCTCAGAGGAGAGGAGTTCTCATTTCTCTAACCGCCTGCTGCTTCCCCTCCTCTCTCCTCGGTTCCCCTCCTTGGCTCCTCCGCTCGCATCTCCTGTGGGCGGGACTAAGTCTCGAGGAGGGGAATTAGTGAAATGAGGAAGGGCCTAAGTGTCTCTTAGTGAATGTCGTGTACTGCTCTTAAATCTCATCACATCAGCTTTTCCTTTCCCTCTTGGATGTTCTTCTGGACCCTCAGAAAAAGAGAAAATGGTGAAGCAGTCCTGTCTCTCAGGCATGTCCTTTCCTAACAGAAATATCAAAAAACATATTATTGCAGAGCAAGTGTGTTATTTAAGATAGGTGTGTTTGTTTGTTCAGGGGCTATAAATATAATGATTTTTTTTTTTATTTGAATGTGTTTTTTTAAATCCAACAGTGTACTACAAAGAGAATCAGATTATGAATAAACCGTTCTAAATTCATCAACATTTAAATAAATGTATTATTAAAATAATATTTACCTGTTATCAAAACTTAGTGCAACTGTAGAAGCTTGCTCTGTTCGATTGTCTCACTGAAAGAATCACTTTTAACATGTTTCTTTACAGTCAGTATGCAGAGACAAAGGGTCGCAGTTCTCACTATGTTCAATAATATTTGCCTTAAATACATTGAAATGTGAAAGTTGAACAAAAAAGTTATGTTGCTTGGTAAAATGTAAATGTAACCTTTTGCTAAGAAAGTACACTCAACATCACTGATGTGTAGGTGTCGGTGATCTAGTATTTAGTCATGTTTAATGGCATGTATATCAGTGCATTAGAGTAATTACTTTATGCATTATTTGTAAAGTATGAACAAGGTGTACCTTGGAATCCGTGCTGAAGTTCTCTGCTGTTAGGAGTCCAGCCTGTCTGGATCACCTTAAGGAGACTTTGAACAAACAGATGTAAAGTTACATGCGTGGGTTACAGACTTATTTACATGCAAACAACGTTTTATCTTCTTTTAAAAAACAGGTCATAATCTTATTGTTATACTTAAGAAATTGCTGGATATCACAGTCCTTATACTGTATCAGTTTGATTGAGTATTATTGTGTAGGTCCTTTTTATTTTACTGTTACTTTGGATGAGTTTTTCAGGAGTCAGTCAAATTAATTTATTTTCATATGCCATATTCATATGAATCACACACGTAAGGGTAAGACACAACCCTATTGAACAAATGCAATGCAATGGATAAGCTTAATTGTCACTGAAGTCACAGATAACGTCATATCTAATATTTAAACAAATAATTTCCTTGTCACTAAAGCATTGACTACGCTATTCATCGTCCTTAAATGCAGGAATTAAGTTACATGTTCTGTTCTACAGCCACGATGAGGCTGTTTCTCAAGTGTGAGGATAATACAATTAAAAGAGGCATTGGTAATAATATTAAAAACAACAATGTTTAGGTCGTTAGTCGGATAGGCGGTTAGCTGCAATAAATAACTCCAGTTCAACAAACCATATTACAATATCTAAGGGAGCGTTATTATCTTGAAATGTGACGTTCATATTTTAAAGATACACACATTTCATTGTGAGGTTGATTTAATATACACTAAGCCTCTCTTCAACAATACGTTGACGTTAGCTAGTCTATTTTAAACAATAGTAGAGCATAGTGAATTTAAACGAACCTTAACAATGCATACAGTAACCTAACTAGCAAACTAACTATCTAACGTACAAGGATGACCTTATTTTAGCAACCTCGCACAGAAGCCTTTTGGTATACAGTAGCATCCCACTTAATGTTTTACACTCTTGGATGCTACGCATAGCATCGTTAGCACAGATGGAGCTACGATTGCTCAAATGCTAACCCAACTCTAAACATTCATTAACGTTAGCTAAATAAAAACACCAGTAACATAACATGTTACGCACAAAGTACGCAGGGTTGACTTACCGAAGAAACTGCATTCATGGACGGTCTGTTTTAACCGCAGATAAATCCTATATTTGCATGACGAATAGTCCAACAGGAACCAACACAACAAACACGGCCGAGTTCAAGTAGTGTTCTTTTCATGAGCTGAGCCGCTGTAGCATCACGGAGCTAACAGTGCACAGAGGAGCTAGGAGCAGCAGTCCCGTTGTCATGAAGGGGGAACCTAACTATATACAGAATATGTTTTTGTGGATCCAAGCTACAAAAATGTTCATTTTCTGATGTTAAGTTGGACATTTTAACATAGGGTCTACCGTCTACGGGAATTGCTCCCATCTGCATCCATCGCCTACAGTTTGCAGCATTGGGCTTCACCGCACTGTCCCGGGGTTCGCCGCTTGGCTCTGATAGGCCAGAAGTCGGTTTGATTGCATTCGGGCTCGATTGCTTATCCTGTCTGAGTAGCCCGGATGATGCTGCATCGCAATTTTTGACGTCGAATTTTATACACCGAATTTTTTGACATCGAATTTTAAACACCGAAATATTTGACATCGAATTTTTGAGATCTGAATTTGAACATTCAAATTTTTTTACCTTGAATTTTTACATTTTTATTTTACATAGGTAAATTCGGAGCAAAAAAAATTCAGATACATGATTTGCAAAGTAATTATTTTCAATGCTATAAATTCGGTGTCTGATAAAATTAAAATACTTCTGTCTCTTGTTTGCTTCCATACCTGGACGTCCAACAGCTCCTCTCTTCACAGACTCGCAGAGACGAGCTTCTTTCATTTAACCCTTCACATTCCAACAGAAACTGAATAGGCAGATTCGAAGGATTTATTTCTTTGGAAATGTTATTTTAAATACAATTAAATCAAGTTATGTTGATAAAACTAATGAATGACTTTTTTTTTTTTAATGTTTTTAAATATTATTTTGTAGAATATCTTAGGCCCTCACAGAGGGTCTAGAGGGCCCTGACGGCTCGCCACTGTGAATACTACTGTGTAATATATCTGTACATGTATATTTAAGGAGTAGGCTACAATATAAGAGAAGCACAAGTTTCATTTGTGGGCCACATTTCATTATACGTTTTGAATTAGCTGAGGGTCGATTCAAAATGGCCAGCGGGCCGCATTTGGCCGCCAGGCCGTACTTTGGATACCCCTGATTTAAAGTGTTAATTAAGAGTAAAGGGAACATACCTGCTCTGTGTATCCGAAGCTGAGGCTGTAAAACAGTGTCTAGTAGTTTCTGGAGTCTCTCGTTCTCCTCTTTTGAACGAGACAGCTCCTCCTCGTGCTCTGCTACAGTTTTTTCAAACAGAGCAAATATATCTTCAGCAGCAGCAGTGAGTCGCTGCTTCTTCAACGACAGCAGCATTTGGACTTTACTCATGTTTACTAGATCACCTTTTCCTGTAAACTCCGTTAAACACACCGTTTCTCTCTCAATCAAACTCTCGATCTGACTAGTGTTGCTAAGGTGTTTACAGCTAGCATGCTAAGGTAGCTCCTATCGTCCGAGGTAAACGCTCCTGAAAAAAGAGCACATAGTCCATTCAGAGGTTTATGCAGACACACATATGATGGATCAGTAGTGCTGGAGCTCACACACACTTTCTCAGGAACAAACAGAGAGAGAGCAGTGTAACACTGCGGTCAACTCAGCCGTCTCTCAAATTTGCTTGATCAAATCATAGATACAGTCGGCAAGCGAGGGAACGCCCACAAAACGTCACATCCGGTTCGCGCTGAGGGGGAAAACAAACCGGCTTCCACAATGCCCAGGAGCGGCTGTGTGTCCTTTTGTACAACTAACAAGCTTAAAAATCCAAATCTAAAATTGTATATTTTGCCCAACGGGAGCACAGAGCCCAGGAGAAGAACCCGGTGGCTTCAAGCGATCCGTCGGGAGGATGAGTTAGAGTTTGGCCACCTGTGGGATCCAACATCCAAACATGTGTACGTCTGTAGTCAGCACTTCATTACAGGTATGACAACGTTATTCACACAATAACAGTGTTAAATTGTTTCGTAGTTAACATGAATGTTCAATTACTAGTTTTAAGAGATGTTAACTAACTACTACGTTATGCTTTCTGCAGTTAAAATGTATTTCACCCCCTTCTATCCCCTTCTCATTTCGTTTGTGAACTGTCTTGCCCTAGGCTTAAAAAAAGAGGACATAGCCCACCCAGACTACACACCCTCGCTGTTCCCACATAAAAAGACAAAGTCTCCCAGGTCAGTACTTCAGAGGCTGGAGAGAAGGAGGAAGCGTGAGGGTGTTCAGTCTGCCCAACCAGAATCCCCAACATCAGAAGCTCCCATACCTCTTCAGGAGTTGGAGAGAAAACAACTTTATGAAGAATTGTATAATTTAAGAAGAGAAAGAGAAGGAGCGAGCTGAAGCCATCAGATAATTGGAGACGTTGAAAATGTCGGTAAACACTGAGAGAAAATGACACTAAATGTAAAGTCATGACAGGCCTGTCATGGACAGTATTTGACACTCTTCATCAGTACCTGGTACAGTTTATTAAGTCACAGAAAACATCCAAGATGTCAACACAAGACCAGCTCTTTATTACTCTGGTGAAACTGCGGCAGAACCCCTCAACCGATATGATGTGTGGAATATTTGACCTGGCACATAGCACTTTCCTGGATGTATTATCCCAATGGTTGGATTTGATGTACGCCAACATTTCTTTTTTGATTAAATGGCCTGATAGAGAGTGTATCAGAAGCACAGTACCAGCAGAGGTTCTCTTCCAGTACCCTAGAGTGACTGCAATTATCGACTGCTTTGAGATCAGAATTGAACACTCAAAGAAGCTGAAAACAAGGTGAGATATTTTTCTTTTTGATAGCATGCATAAAGTGTCGGCTTTTTGTAATACTTACCTGGCTGTCTGTGTATATGTACACAATTTATAGATAAGTATTACTAACGACTGTCTCTTCTCACAGAGCTATCACCTACTCAAAATACAAAAACTGGACAACAGTGAAGTATTTCATTGCATGTCACCCATCTGGCTCAATCACATATCTCTCCAAAGGCTGGGGAGGGAGGGCTTCAGATGTGCATATTGTAAGGAACTCAGACTTCTTATCTCAGAAGTTCCACCATGCAGGAGATCAGGTAACAATTGAACTGTTTTTTTTCTTCTAATTTAAGTCTTATTTGTGAATTTATTATTTATCCATAGTTACAATTTTTGAGTTGCTGTTGAAGTAAAGTAGTGTTTTTAAGTATTTGTTATGTTTATTTCAGATTTTAGCCGACAGGGGCTTCACTTTGAAGGATGACTTTGCTGTTCTGGGTGCACAGCTCATCACACCGTCTTTGACGAGGGGCCGAAAACAACTGTCAGCCGAAGATGTTGCAAATTCAAATTCTGTGACTTCGAACATCAGAATTCACATTGGTAAGTATAGAGTCAGCAGTCAGATTCATACAGTATGTACATTTTAATGTTTTTGGTATTCAGAGTGTGCTGCATCATCAAATCACTGTTGCTACTTGCCGCTGACGTGGTTCACATTTCCCTAACTAAATTAATTACTGTAACAGTACAGATCCGGGTTAACAAGTGCTGAGACGTTATTCAATTAATCACATCAACGAGTACATGTGTAATCCCTACTTTGTAGGGTGTCTTAAGATAAAATGTTATCTTAAAAACATGTTATTCTATATTTAAATACATTGAACTGTTGTTCACATTTAGTGCAATATCAAGAGAACAGGATAACAGGAAGTTAACAGGGATCTTTCTTCACTTTAACATGAAAAAGAAACACTAATTATAGGACACAATGCACTGACGATATGATATAACGGTCAACTGTGCTACTCCTGTGAAACTCGAACATAACAATGTAGATAAACAGCATTTTAACAACAAATATGTGATCTATATGATATATATGATATGTGATGAGAACAATATTTTATGCAACTTTTTTATACAACAAAGAAGTCATTATTGTTCCAATTGTGCCATTTAACAGGTTTCAGTTGAGGCATAATGGATCTTTCTAATCAAAACCACCTGTTGTTTGTCTTTCCACAGGTCCCTGAACTTATCTCAGTGCTGCTCTGCTGCTGCACACCCTGTCACCCTGCCTCTGATGCCTGACGCTCTGCCTCTGATGCCTGACGCTCTGCCTCTGTTGCCTGACGCTCTGCCTCTGTTGCCTGTCGCCCTGCCTCTGTTGCCTGTCGCTCTGCCTCTGTTGCCTGACGCTCTGCCTCTGTTGCCTGTCGCCCTGCCTCTGTTGCCTGTCGCCCTGCCTCTGTTGCCTGATGTTCTGCTGCCACTTGTGTTGCCTGATGGGTCACTCCCTGTGCTGCTTTCGACTGGACTGTGTTCTGCCTACTTAGCAGAAACATATACAGTGCTTATCATAAATGAGTACACCCACTTTGAAAATAAGACAAGAACAATTTGATCAACATCACAATATCAACAATTATTATCTGATTAGTATCAAAGTCACAAGTATAGACAATATTGTACAGCCCATTATTCATTCTATTTGTAGCCTATGTATGTTTTCATGTTGTAAATAAATGTATAGGCTTTGTGATATTTGATTTTGTACATATAGTCTAGTAGTCTATGTTGATACTGAATGAAATAGCTATAATATGCTTCAAAATGAATTGGTATAAATAAATATGTAACTCTGTCACAGTGACTTATTTGTTGCCATTTTTACACTGATAGGAAATTCAACCACCTACCTGTGCATCTTTCAGCTCCCGAAGTTTGTGTAGTATGTGTTGTGACCAAAATGTTTGCATCACATTAATGGCACCACTGATGAAGTCCTCATCTCTTTGTACTCTGAATATCAGGCAGGTCTGAGGAGTCCAAGTGATGAAGTCTGCATACATCCGTTTGGTAACAAACATCTGCATTTGGACCTGTCAAATGCAATGCAATCATCATAACACTAATATTTACATTATAGACAGTATGCCTTCTGTGGATAATTATCTTGGATAATTGCACAAAATGCTGCAGACTTATTAGAGGTGTGCAGGTATATGAAATATTTAAATACCTGAGTGAAATATGCATGACTTCTCTTTAAGCTTGTCAGACTTTCCAGATGTCCTCTTTTGTCCTCAAGCCACTGTTGGTACCCAGTAGAGGTGTCTTGCCCCCACCTGTAAGGACACTTAGCCTCTATAACACCCTCACCACAGCAGTCACAGGAAACATAGCCATCACATGAAACCCCCAGGTATGGCATAGTTTGGCAGATGCGGAAGCCAGCCTTTCTGACGACCAGGTTCTGATGTGGTGCATCTACTGGGGCACAGATGTAAATGGTGGAAGACAGGTTGGCTGTGGGGCTCCTAGCTCCAAGAGCATATTGATAAGTGTCAATGGCATCTTGCTCATGGTGTCTCCCCCACTGAATCCAGGGCTTCATTATTGGCCTGTGCCTTTGTTCACATATGGTGTTGATCAGTGACTTGCTAGGATGTTCTGTAGCTGTTAAGACACGGTGGGCTATGGAGCCTGTAATGCGACCAACCCGCTCTTGATGCCATTGCACACAGGATGCCTGACGGATGGTTGCTCTCTCCACATTTTCGATCTCCTCCTCAGTCACCTCATGCTGGCTGAAACACCATGGCTTCTTAAAAGGCCTGGAAAAACCCATGAAACTATTTAATACCACAGAGTCAGGTGATCTGTCAGCCAGCATAGTGAGGAACTGCTGCTGCTGTGATAAAGAGGCTTTTGGGGTAGGGGCTTTCCTTTTCCTTTTTTTTGACGTCTTGTCCTCTGTGTAAAAAGTTGTCTCTGCAACAAGAGCAGGCTCAATCTTTTTAACACACGTCTTGTTCCACTCACAGGCTTTGCTTGTGCATGGCACTTTGTTGATCCCCATGCGGACACAAGCCTCTAATTTAAAAAGAACAGCAGCCACATGGGAACAACTTTCACCAAGACTGAAAAGGAAGGAAAAAAATATCCATTAGCTCTAGATCACTAAAGATATTGGGCCTAAGATTTTACATAATACTGCCCTGTCTGGTGACATTTCTTTTGGAACATTTTGATATATTTGGACGTATTTATGGAACCCACGCACAAACAAATGAGCGCTTTCACAAACGTACCCTGCCATGCAGTTGCAGTGGGCAGCGACGATGGTACCCTCTCCCTTAACTGCTACCCACGTCTGGTGCGGCTTCTCTGTCAGTCACCCTCCAGGATGGCTTTACATCACATCGGAACAGGTAGGTATCCGATGAAGGTAGTTTATGATGGAGCACAACTCCAACAAAGTCACTTGTAAAAAGTTGTGTGCCTCCAGGGACCGATAGTTCTTTAGGCTGCTGTGTGTGTAAATCCCTGCGTGATAACGTACCGAGTCGTCAATAACCAATATGTATATGCAGCTCATGATGGCTATTGTGCAATAACAACCATTGTGTGATGAACAAATTCACTAAAACGTGCTAATTTCCTTGTCAGACATATACATTATGTGAGGTTTAATTAATCAGTTAACGTGATTTTGCCTCTTACCGGGTGATTCAACCAGGTATAGCAGAAGATATCAGGGAATGAAACTTCAGGCCATTTAGTCGGATCATTCGTCCACTCTTTAATAAGATATGGACAAGAATCCGATCCTATTAAATTAATTTTTTTAAGGTATCTATCCCTGTCAATGGGCTGCAATGTATCAATGTATGACATGTTTGTTTAACATTTAAAATCTGCGCGCTTACAGTGCTCCGTGCGAGGAGGAAAGGATTGTTTTCCCCCTCGAAATGCCCCGCCCCCAACTGTGACGCGACGCCGACTGTATGTTATACCCTTTATATATACAGTCTATGGTTATACCCATAGACTGTGGTTATACCCAGGGGTGCACATAACTTGTTTGCCCTGGTTCTCAAAGGAGCACCTGGAGATGTTGCTTGGTGCTCATCCTTAAAATGAAATAAACCGTAACTTTTGAGGGGGTCTTGACTTTATTTGCCAGACACACGGCACTGAACACACATGCAGAGGTGAACACAGAACACAAGACAACATTAGCACGACCAGTAATCCTACAAGCCAGGGCCGGACTGGGACAATAAATCAGGCCGGGAATTATACACCCAACCAGGCCACTACCAGTTTTATTTTGTGTAATTTTCCTGGATTTATTTGTCAATATTTACAGCGTTGCTGCCCATAGTGATAGCCATAAACTTTAAAACTACCCCAGAATAAACATATGGACATGGGTTACTATTTTTTTTTAAAAGTGCAAATCTATTTAGGAACCTATCCATGTGAACATATTTTAAGTGGAGGTGGACCTCAAATCCTCTAGGGGGGTCGGGGGGCATTCTCCCCGCGGAAGATTTTTTTGTTTTTAAATGTTGGACTTAAATGCATCAATCTGGTGCACTTTGAGGGGGAAATAAAGAGACTACACCCATATGAAACAGAACTATATACATTTAAATAATCATAAAATCATAAGAACATGGGCATAACCAATAACATGCCATATCCAATATGAAAAAACATTGAAACTTGTTTATTTATTTGTTTTTGGTTCATTTATAGTTAGCATGGCATAGTGTGTCTGGGCTCCTGAACCAGCCTCACCCGTCTCCCCCTGCTCCTCTTTGAGGCAGCAGCAAAGACTAGTTTTAGCTCTCAATACGTTTTTAAAGTGTATCCTACCTTTTTTCACCTAGTTAACTTTTTTTTTTGTATTATTCATGCATATTTTACTAATCACTCCCCCTTCAAATGGAAATATGTGTTTACATAAATGGTGACCAAACCGTTTGAGACCCACAGAGAACTTAGACTAAGTTAACTATCTAAAACACTCAGAGAGTCCTTTACCTCACCTGAGCTGTAGTTATCAGTCTCTCAGTCTGACAGGAGAGGACTCTCCTCCACCTTGTCGACAGCTCATTCCGTTAGCGCCGCTAGCTAGCACCGGATGCTAACAACAACAATACACGTAACCAGTGCACGCGCTTTCTCTCTCGCTTGCTCGCGCCACACATACACACCCCCCGAGCTTGAATGACACGAGACCAATCGAGGGCATTATGGCGCGTTTCCACTGCAGCGGGGTAGCCCCGTTTAAGCGTCCCTAAGCGTCCTCGCTCAGGCCTCGGGCTGCCTCGCTGGCCGTCCGAGGCCGTGGCGCATTCCCATTACAGTTTAGGACCTGGGGTAGTAACGCAGTGTAGGCGGGACGATCGGCTTTGTTTTTGTTCACATTTCGAGTTGTTCCGTCGAGCTCCCACTGGATGTTATCATCCGCAAAGAGATGTAGGAACGTCGTCACCTCCTCGATCGACCACGGTGTGCTTTTCTTATTAGACGTAGCCATTTTGTAGCTCCTCCGTTTACAAAATGCTGTTTATAAAAATGCTGCAAGTTTGCTTCTAAATATATATGCGACGCTAGGGATGAACTCGCGCGCGATCTTGTGACGATTCTCTCTGACCAATCAGCAGTCGAGAGTGTTGACATCACTAGTTCAGCCCTGGCCCTGGTCTGATAGAACCACGATTTTATGAGGCCGGAAAAAGAGGGAAAAAGTACCCGCTAGCCGGTACTAGGCTATATGGAAAAGCCACCAAAAACTGGCCTGGCCGCTTGAGGACGGTTAAGGACGCTTAAACGGGGCTACCCGCTGCAGTGGAAATGCGCCATTATTAGTGTATGATTTGTATGAAAGTGGCCATGTCGGCAGGCCACATCATGTAGACAGCCAGTCACCCTCTGTGAGGCAGAGTCAGACCCACATTTGCGCAGCGTTGCGTTCACAATACATACAAAAAATTCCTCAGGCCAGCAGGCCACATGGCGCGTTTCCACTGCAGCGGGGTAGCCCCGTTTAAGCGTCCTCGCTCTGGCCTCGGGCTGCCTCGCTGGCCGGCCCAGGCCGTGGCGCATTTCCATTACAGTTTAGGACCTGGGGTAGCAACGCAGTGTAGGCGGGGCGATCGGCTTTGTTTTTGTTCACATTTCGAGTTGTTCCGTCGAGCTCCCGCTGGATTTGATCATCCCTAATGAGATGTAGGAACGTCGTCACCTCCTCGGTCGACCACGGTGTGCTTTTCTTATTAGACGTAGCCATTTTTGTAGCTCCTCCGTTTACAAAATGCTGTTTATAAAAATGCTGCAAGCTTGCTTCTAAATATACATGCGACGCTAGGGATGAACTCGCGCGCGATCTTGTGACGATTCTCTCTGACCAATCAGCAGTCGAGAGTGTTGACGTCACTAGTTCAGCCCTGGCCCTGGTCTGAGGGAACCACGATTTTATGAGGCCGGAAAAAGAGGGAAAAAGTACCCGCTGGCCGGTACTAGGCTATATGGAAACGCCACCAAAAACCGGCCTGGCCGCTTGAGGACGGTTAAGGACGCTTAAACGGGGCTACCCGCTGCAGTGGAAACGCGCCATTATGGCGCGTTTCCACTGCAGCGGGGTAGCCCCGTTTAAGCGTCCCTAAGCGTCCTCGCTCTGGCCTCGGGCTGCCTCGCTGGCCGGCCCAGGCCGTGGCGCATTTCCATTACAGTTTAGGACCTGGGCTAGCAACGCAGTGTAGGCGGGGCGATCAGCTTTGTTTTTGTTCACATTTGTCGTTGTTCCGTCGAGCTCCCGCTGGATTTTATCATCCCCAATGAGATGAAGGAACGTCGTCACCTCCTCGGTCGACCACGGTGTGCTTTTCTTAGAAGTAGCCATTTTTGTAGCTCCTCCGTTTACAAAATGCTGTGTATAAAAATGCTGCAAGCTTGCTTCTAGATATATATGCGACGCTAGGGATGAACTCGCACGCAATCTTGTGACGATTCTCTCTGACCAATCAGCAGTCGAGAGTGTTGACGTCACTAGTTCAGCCCTGGCCCTGGTCTGAGGGAACCACGATTTTATGAGGCCGGAAAAAGAGGGAAAAAGTACCCGCTGGCCGGTACTAGGCTATATGGAAACGCCACCAAAAACCGGCCTGGCCGCTTGAGGACGGTTAAGGACGCTTAAACGGGGCTACCCGCTGCAGTGGAAACGCGCCATAACAGGCCAGGCCAGGCCATCGGGAAACCTCCCGGTCCTCCCGATGGCCAGTCCGGGCCTGCTATAAGCTGTCATCACTGCCCTCCTGACTGTCTTCCTCTCTGTCAGACAACAAACGTCAATAGGCCGAAAGGTCAAATATCTTAAGTAAAGACAAAATTAATCCCTCACAATACCCACTGACAATATACAGACTTTGTATGCAGCATATGACATCCAGTTGTACATTGAAAGGATGTGGTTGTACATTTCTTAGCTTTAACCTTCATTACTCATACCATTTGCTTGTGAATTTGTTGAGGCAATTGTATTACCCGCAAAGTGTACTATTTGCTTATTGTCCAGACTGCATATTCCCTGTAGGTGATGAGGCTACTCCAGAAAGAACTGTTCTTTCTGGATTCGCAATATTTCAGAAGAACAGGGAGTTTCCCCTGTGAGCCCTAGAGGAATCTATTAAGGTTACCCTGGATGTGTGTGTGCTGGTGGTCACGTTACCCTGACCTGCCTATAATGTTAAGACTATGTTCAAACAGGAGGCACTGTAGTCCTTAAAGGTGGGGTAGGTAAGTTTGAGAAACCGGCTCGAGTGTGCTGGAATTTGAAAGTAAGCAGCCGGAAAAAATCTGCCACTTCCTCACAGAGCCCCTCCTCCAACACACACGAACGCGCACATGACCAATGAGGGCACGAGATAAGTGTGTGCACAGATGGAAGGCTGACAGGCAGGTCGGCCATCCAGTTACTTTAGCCGGGCCGGCTCAGATGATTGGTCGTGCTTTTTACAGTACTACGGCTTCCACAGATATTGTTTATGGATTTTTTGTCCAAGCACTTAAGATATTCATTGCTATCGGGATGTTAAGAGTATTCCATGGAATATAACAAAGTGTATCTCGAGCCGGTTTCTCAAACTTACCTACTGCTCCTTTAAGTACGGAAGGATTGTTATAGTCAGAAAAGATCGGCTTCCTTAAAGCTGAAGTTGAATGAAATAGCCAAGTGTCAAACGCAATCAAAAGGGAGACCGAGATAAATCTTCCTCGTTTAACTTTTTCCAATAACATGATTTACTTTATTTGCATGGTCTGAACTTGTTATTGGCTGTTATTTTCTACAACTGTGTTCCCTGTTCTGTGGACTACAGTTGGCGGTTCATGTTCTGAATCTGAAGCAACAACGTTTTGTTCCCCCTCTTTTTTTTCTTCTTTCACTCCTAATTTCTGATGTTTGACCTAGTTTTGCTCTTGCTTTCCTAGGGGTGTTGCACAGCAAATCATTGCAGGATCCTGGACAGAGAAGACTGCTCTGGATTTTGAGGTGTTTGCAATGTCACTATCGTATTGTCACAATTGGTTATTATGCTCTTACTAACTTTTCTTCATACAGGGGCTTCCAAAGCAGACCCATGGGAATGACTGTGGTGTCTTCATGATAATGGTGAGTAAGAATAAGGCCGTGATATGGCACAATTGATTGCTCCTTAACACCTTTCATTTGTAAATACATGCAATAGTGATTCACCACCACTTAGACCTGACAAACGTTCTCTTTGAATCCCAATGTTCTCTCACATTATGCACTTGCATTATATATAAGGATATAAATAAGGATTTAAGGAATGTTCACGTATAGGTAGGCCTCTCGTGCATCTTTCTTGTGGCGTTATCACCTCCACATTTTATTGGAGGTGTGTGACTACTTTCTCACTGAGTTATAAGCCGTCACGTGTACATTATGTCTTGCATGTGCTAATACAATTCTCATTACAGTATGCCTGGTATTTTGCCATGGAGGCCAGCTTTGACTTCAGCATTGTAAGTATTAAGGAAAGAAGTCACATTAAAATGCTATAACAAACTTAATGAAAATGTATGCTCTTTCTTTAGCATGACATGTCTCTCCTGAGAAGGTGGTGGTGTGTTATCCTGGTGGAAAACTTTGGACTGGAAGGGTATGCTGCAGTGCTACAAAAACATTTGAATTTGTAATTGTATTATCAAGAAGATTTGGGGGTGAACACCTGGCTCTAAAATTCAACCTTCTGGTGAAGAAAATGTGTCTTAATTGCAGGTATGGAAAGAAGTTTGCTCACTATAGTGAGGAAGGCAGCGACAATGTCCCACCTACATTCAGGATCAGTCGTAAAAGGACGCATGCAAGCAGCACCATGGTCAGTGTATCGCTCAACGTATCTATGACCCTGTGCCTGTTTCAGAATGGGTTACTAGTACTCCTAAAACACATACTACATAGAACTTATGGTACATGCAACATTTGTTTTGTGTAGTACTGTGTCATTCTGAATCGAGCCTGGATCATTTTTGGAGGAGTTAAAACCGTGCATGTAAAGCACTGTCAAAATAATGGTTGACTGTCTACAGATGCCCCTGGACACTGATGAGGACCACTCCTATAACAGGAGGCCTTACAGCTTCCTTCCTAAAGAGTCGGTTAGGGAATGGACACATTGAAGTGTACAACCCCTGATGCATGTGATTTTATAATATTACATATATGACTTCTTTATACCATCTTGTCTTGGAGTGCCACAGGGCTCAGTGCTCGGACCTATTTTGTTCACATTATATATGCTTCCGTTAGGCAATATTATAAGGAATCATTCTGTAAACTTTCATTGTTATGCGGATGATACTCAACTATATTTATCAATCAAGCCTGATGAAATTAATCATCTAAATAAAATTCAAGACTGCCTTAAGGACTTAAAAACGTGGATGACCTTAAACTTTTTGATGTTAAACACGACCAAAACTGAAGTTATTGTACTTGGCCCGAAGAATCTACGAAACAAATTATCTAAGGATATATTAACTATGGATGGCATTAATTTGGCCTCCAGTGAGACTGTAAGGAATCTTGGTGTTATATTTGATCAGGATTTATCCTTTAACGCCCACATAAAATCAATTTCAAGGACCGCCTACTTCCATCTACGTAACATTGCAAAAATCAGGCATATCTTGCCTCAAAACGATGCAGAGAAACTAGTCCATGCATTTGTTACTTCAAGGCTGGATTATTGTAACTCTTTATTATCAGGGTGTACCAAGAAGTCAGTCAAGTCGCTTCAGCTGATTCAAAATGCTGCGGCTCGTGTACTAACCAGAGTTAGGAAAAGGGACCACATTACTCCTGTTCTGGCTGCCTTACACTGGCTCCCTATAGAACACAGGATAGAATTTAAAATTCTTCTTCTCGCCTACAAAGCCCTTAATGGGCAGGCGCCATCTTACCTTAAATAACTCATTATACCCTACTGTCCTATTAGGGCATTGCGTTCCAAGAATGCAGGGTTGTTGGTTGTTCCTAGAGTCTCTAAAAGTACAATGGGAGCCAGAGCCTTTTCTTATCAAGCTCCACATTTGTGGAATCAGCTTCCAGTTTGTGTTCGGGCGGCAGACACCCTATCCGTTTTTAAGAGTGCGCTTAAGACCTTCCTTTTTGATAAAGCTTATAGTTAGGGCTGATTAGATCCAGCCCCTAGTTTTGCTGATATAGGCTTAGTTTGTCGGGGGACATCTTACTTCTTCCTTCTCTCTGTCTATACCTGTGTACTCTCATGTTCCGATTAACCCAGCTTCCCCAAATGTCTTTCTTTTTGGTGTCTATATACGCCGGGATCCGGAGTCATGGATGATCCTGTGCTCCTCTGTCCTGGATCGCGAGCCCTGGATCTTGAGTCGTGGCTGTGGTCCTGGATCATAGGTCCTGGATGGATATCCTCGTGGATTCATCTTCCTATTATACACACATGCATTTCCAAACATTTGGACTACCTATGTTGCAAATGTATTATCTTTTCAATTTACACACGGCATCTATTGCACGTCTGTCCGTCCTGGGAGAGGGATCCCTCCTCTGTTGCTCTCCCTGAGGTTTCTCCCATTTTTCCCTTTAAACTGTGGGTTTTCTCCGGAAGTTTTTCCTTGTACGATGTGAGGGTCTAAGGACAGAGGGTGTCGTATTGTCATACTGATATTTTGTACAAACTGTAAAGTCCACTGAGACAAATGTAACATTTGTGATATTGGGCTATATAAATAAACATTGATTGATTGATTGATTGATTGATTGTCTTATCAGTGAGATGGAACTTTGTTCTCATGACCTCACCAAGAACATGAGTGGGGAAGCGCACCAAAGGCTGAAGGACTTGTGAAAGATTCCGAGGAGTTTTTAAATAGGCTTTAAACTCCTGCAGGTCAATATTTGTTTAAGTTGACCAGCTCTGATTTTCCATATGATGTTCTGTTCAATAAATGTTCATTGAGGAAAACGGTATCAGTGTCTTATTTTATATACATCATAGTGAATGCTGAACTTGCCGGAACTGTAATTGAAAGTACACAATGAAACACTGGCTTGCTTGTATCAAATCAATACAATTCCCACATGCCCTACCCCGGAACCTGCTGTCTTCAGACTCTGGCCCCCCGCACCAACCTGTGATCCTTCGGGGACAGAGCCTTCAGTATGGCAGCGCCCACTCTCTGGAAAGCTCTCCCTGCGGAGATCTGCAACATCCCCACGCTTGACGCCTTCAAAAGGGCCCTCAAGTCCCATCTGTCTGCCAAGGCCTTTGTCCCCAAATCTATTTGTTGTTTTGTTCTTCTTTTTAAAGCGACCTTGGGTCTCATGAAAGGCGCTATATATATCTTATTATTAATACATCATTGGAACGGTACCTCCAGTATGCCTACATGACAAGCATTTTTATAATATACAGTAAACATATCTTTGACTTATAGCAAAATTATAAAATGAAATTCACCCCTGCTGTCATTCTGGCTTTCACTGTTCAAATGTAATGTCAACCATCAAAATGGGATAAGGGGTTCCAAGGGGTTCTCAAACGGATAGGTTATTAATTAAATTGCCTAATAGTTGCTTAAAATGATACAATAACATGCCATGTACGGTCTCTCAGCCACCGTAGGCGGCGTAGTAGGGGGCGTGTCGTGTAGTGTCGTCAATTCGCTTTTCATCTGCCATGCTTCTCAGCCACCGTAGTGTCGTGTCAGGTGGGCGTGTCGTGTACTGTCCGCGGCCGCATGTAGACCATATTGCGGATTGGAGCGCAAGACACAGCTTCTGGGAGGACAGGAGTGTTTCCTGTATCCCATTGAACTGTGGGGGGGGGAGAGGCGAACTGCAGGGCGTATCCTCTGCTGATCAGCCTGCTCATCTACCTGTCCATCAGACACACGCGCTGCCACTCTGAGAAACACTCTGAGAGCGGGCGCACATGCTCGAGATGTTCTGTGGTCGTCATGGCGACGAGCCACGCCAGTCATGGTGACGAGCCATGCCATTGCCCTCGCCGCCACTGCCCGTGACGCGAAAGGGCTGTGAGGAAGCCTCCACACGCTTCGTTTCCCTCCGGCTGTCATCATGAGGCGTGTACACGCTCAAGGGATGAGTGGAGGACGTGTGTGCAGTGCTGTCCACATGAGGCGTTATAACCAGGGGTGCACATAACTTTTTTGCCCTGGTTCTCAAAGGAGCACCTGGAGATGTTGCTTGGTGCTCATCCTTAAAATGAAATAAACCGTAACTTTTGAGGGGGTCTTGACTTTATTTGCCAGACACACGGCACTGAACACACATGCAGAGGTGAACACAGAACACAAGACAACATTAGCACGACCAGTAATCCTACAAGCTGTCATCACTACCCTCCTGACTGTCTTCCTCTCTGTCAGACATGGTAGCTGATGATGTAGGCCTACTACTTCCTCTCTGGTTGAGTCTGCGATTAGCTGCTTGCATCCACAAGTCAACAGCTGGTTTTGGGTCGAAAGTCTCTGTTGTCATCTTAGACAAGTGGATGTAATCAAATAAGTATGTGAACATAACCAATAACCTACCATAGCCAATAACAAATTAATGTAACTTATTTTATTGTTGTTGTTCATTCATATCTTATTTTACCTTAACATTTATATATTTATGCATTTTTTTTAATCTTTCCAGTTTTAAAGGATATTTTTGGTTTACTGTCCTATAGTATACATTGGAATGATTTAAAACCTGTTTATCCCAATAATTATAAAGGAGTGACTTGAAAATATGTGTTTACATAAATTGTGATCAAAACGTTTGAGACCCACTGAGACAACTTAGACTAAAGTGAACTATCTAAACACTCCACAGTCCTTTACCTCACTGAGCTGTAGTTATCAGCCTCAGTCTGACTGGAGAGGACTCTCCCTCCACATTATTGTAGAAACATCTTCTTCTTATATCCGTTAGAGCAGCTAGCACCAGATACTAATAACAACAGCGCCGGAACCGGTGCACCCTCCCTCGATCCCACGCTCACTCGCACTTTGGCTGTGAGCTGCGGGCGCCAGATAAGCCAACATCCCCCATTTGCATCACTTACAGCGCCCATCAAATGAAACGTGTAACCGGGGTGAAAAGGGTGTTACATTTACTTAATTATGAATGTTGTTACATCAAGGCCGAAAATTAGGATGAGCCCCAACGGTCAAAAAATTGTTTTTCCCTCCCAGAGCTGACAGCGCAGCGCCTCCCCGGATCTGGCGCCCTAGCGCGAACATTCTATACGCCCGTGCGTGCTACGAGCGACCCTGATTAATATGCCAACTCGCAAATATCTTTCGATCTCCCAGCAGTATTCTAAGAGAGAGGAGGGGTCTTTAAATGATGAGGGATAGATGTCTAGAAGAAGATAGGTCGCTATGGCTCTCTATAATCTCTCATCTCTCTCGCTCTCTCTCCTCTCTATCTCTCTTCTCTCTCTCTCTCTCTCCTCTCTCTCTCTCTCTCTCTCTCCTCTCTCTCCTCATCTATGTTTGGTCGCAAATTGCCGCCTTTTTCAAATGACCCGGTGCTCATTTTTGGCGGAAGGTGCGCATGCGCACCTGCGCACCAGTTATGTGCAGCCCTGGTTATACCAGAGCCCTAGAGAGAGGGCTCTGGTTGTAGCCTAGCAGAGTGGACAAGTTGCTGTGAGCTGACAGTGAGGCATGTACATGTCCATCAAAGTGACCACGCCCTAATTTATGCAAAAGCTTTAAGGCTTAATATTAATTAAACAGATGAGTTGAGAAAAAATTCACCCCCCACACAGTAGTCATGAAGGGGGAATCTAACTATATAGAGAATATGGTTTTTTTGAACCAC